CGACACGTGGTCCGTGGCCATTTTTCCGCCCGACACGTGGTCCGTGGCCATTTTCCCGCCCTGCCCCGCCCCGCCGCGTGGTGCCCGGCCGTTTTCCCGCCCCTGACGCGTGGTCCGCGGACGCCAGAACGGATTAATGGTAATTACAATGAACCTTATGGGAAAATTTGCTTCGGGGTGCGACCAAATTCGGAGGGCGGAACGGATTAACATTGAACCCTATGGGGAAATTTGCGTCGGGTTACGACCAACTCGGGATACGCCCAGAGTCACGGAACGGATTAAGTTCGTATCCTGAGGTACCACTGTATTTCATCTGTGCGAGGGAGGGCCCTCTCGTCCGTGTTATTCATCATTAAGGCTTGCTCACGTGAGGCTGCTTAGGCGAAAAGGGATTTATTCATCTGCTTTTACTTTTATGGGACTGTTTGCTTTGAATCAAGCAAGTTTTAACCTGCAGTTTAATTTTTGTATACAACCCTTTTGAGCAGTGAGTAAAGCTTCAGTTGGAAAGTTAATTCAATTGCTTCTTAAGTTGTTTGTCATTGCACATAACCAGGAATGGAAAGAACCCAGAGAGATGTACCAGCCCCGAGGGTGGTTGTCACATGCGGGCTAGAGTCCACCCTGGGAATCAAACGTTACTAAGGGAAAAGTGACAGACTGTCCCTCGACTTGAGTGGGCTGACAAAGTGCCGCCTTGGGCTGGGACCACAGCCCCTGGCCAAATAATTTTGAGGATGGGTTCCCTGTCTGCTGCGGCCATCTGCCCCGATTCTCTGAACAGTCTACCACAGTGTTTCTCAACCTTGGCCACTTGAAAAGGTGTGGACTTCAACTCCCAGAATTCAGGTAGTCTGGATGGGGTCAACTCAGAAAAGTTAAAATGGGGTTGGATAGTTTGTGTCCTGTGTGTTGTGGGAATCTAGCCATTTCCTAACATCTGTTATGAACCAGGCTACCTACTTAAACCACAACATAATTGATTTTTTTTGTGTTTTGTTTTAACCTGGGTTTAAGGTTTGGAGGAACACAGCCACCATAACTGACGGTTCCCATTGCTGAACCCTCATTTGCCTCATTTGCTTGAGGCAAACCATCCTGAACTGATATGAACTAAACTGATGAAATGCCTTATAAATGTTCACCTGCTAGTTTTAGGGAAAGAGGAGAACAAGAAGAATCCCAAAATTATAACCGAAGGGAGCATTTGACATGCTATGTCACAGGAACTGTTTTAGGTATCTTTTTATTAAAAACTTCTGATTTGATTCCTCTGATCAAAAACTTGCATGTAATTTACTTTAAATAATTTAAAAGGAAGTCTTCTTAGTTATCTGGGTCTCAGCGAATGGCAGCACCCTACTGGCCTTGAAAACTGAACAGGGTTGGGCCGGGCTAGTATTTGGAATGGAAAAAGCAAAGGATGCTGGGTAGCCTGGGAGTTTGAAGAACAAACCCAGGGAGGCAATGAGATGCCCCTTCCAGGCTGCGTGGTTGAGTCCCTGTAGTCATCAGAAACTGAGCGGAATTTGAGGACCATTTTACCTTTAGCTAGCCAGAGGGGGAAGACAACTTACACACAGTCTCCCCAGGAGAAAGGTTTCATTCTTTATCGAGCACCTTGTGCTTGGCCAGGATACATCCTGGGTGTCCTGGTGGAGGTCCTTGCAGGAGGCTCAGTCTGCTATCTCAAGAATGACCTAAGCATGGCCCACCACCCAAAGTGCTGTAAAGCAACCCAACACTGGTCCAACCCTTGCCCGAATCCCAGACGCAGGAGAACCGAAGGCAAAGACTTACACACCTGATGACAAAAGCTAAGGGTTCTCGAGGCACCTCCCTATTGAGAAAGAACTGCAGTCCTTCAAAGAGCTTCTTCTGTTTCTCCAAGTCCTCCTCCTCCTTCCGCCGGGCCTCCTCTTGTTCTGCCGTCTCCTAGGAGAGAAAAAGTCTCCATCATAAATTGGATAAGTAAATATATCGGATGGATGGATGGATGGATGGATGAATAAATAAATAAATGGCTCAATTGTAAATTGGATGGATGGATGGATGGATAGATCGATCGATCAGCCCCCTCTTGGCCACCTTGGAAGGCTCGCGCTATGGGACGTATGTTGAAGGACTCCAAGCTGGAGTTCAGAAATGAACTGGGGATGAGAGGAGCTCTTGTCCAAAGAAACAGCACCCCAAAGGCCCTCTGTCTTTTCCTGCCACACTCAGCAAAATAAAATAAAAATTTATTCTGTTTCGCTTTATAAGAAGTTCAGAAAGTTTGAGGGAGGTTCCTATAAATAAGAATTCAAGATCAAAACAATAGTAAGTGTGGGAGAAAACAAAATGGACTGTCGTCCATCCCAACTCCCCTGCTTCCTTGCCAAAACTTCTGCCTCCTAGTTGGTTGTAAAGGCCCAGATAGTTGGCAACCTCTACCCAAACCTGGCTGATCTCAAACAGCAAAGGAGGATTGGATGGGGATGGACAAGCAGCAGAAAATTGCGGAATATCTGATTAGACTGGGAAGTTGAAAAAGCATCCTGCGCGAAGACCTGAGCAAGCCATTTCTGTATCGCTGCCAAGAAAATTATATGGGCTTATCCTTCAAGTCATGCCAAACCTCCCTCAGGTGGATGGGATCAAGGAAGCAAGGCCTACACAGATTTTAGGAAGGGAACTTTCATGCTGGTCTGGGGTAAATACAGAATCCAATAGAAGAGGATATCTGTAGCTCAGGGTTGAACTGTGGAGTCCTTGGTGCTCTCTGAGCTTAGTTCTTTCTTGCAGACATTTCATTACCCAACTAGGTAACATTATCAGTGCACACCATTCAAGAGAGACAATAAAAAAGCTAGGAAGGAAACAAAAAGATCAGAACACATCCTCTCTGGCACCCAACACCCAGATAAGCAGGGATTAATACCAGACAAACAATCAAGCAGAAAACAATATCCTAATCAAGGAACTACCAAGGAATTGGGGGACCACACCTCCACCAACACTGGCAGAGCAAGCTACTGTATATAAACAGGGAGCAAACTCCACACTCACAAGCACTGATGACGTTACCTAGTCGGGTAATGAAACATCTACAAACGAACAGCCAAGCTCAGAGAGCACAAGGACTCCACAGTAAATACAGAATCTTGGAAACTGCAGGAGAAATTTCCCACCCTGTTCATTAAGGTGGAGTCTCTCTGCAGGACTGGAAGCGCTTCTTCCCACCTGGACCGAGCTGCAGTTTATCCCTTTCTATCTCTTGGCTGCTGATCTCTCTCTTCCGTTCCTTTCTCCTGGTCTTGTCTCGCAAGCCCACTAGGATTTGAGCTTAATTTGCAGGAAGCCTTATTGTTACGAAGCCGGTGAGGGAAATGGGGGGACCATCCCTCGGTCCCCAGTGGGTCTCCAAACTTTGTAAAGGGAAGGCAACAATACGCTTGGGGGGAACGAAGTCGGTATTTTTCAGGACTATGCAAATTGGCCCTACATTAATTATGAAATAAAGTCTTAGGCCATTGTGAGCTTAACGTGCTCAGCGATAGCTATCTCAGAGTAGGGACGAGCAGCATCTGGCCTTATCTGCTACATCTGGAGCGGCATAGCATCCCCCCAGCATCCTGTCTCTCTGAAGGCATTCCCCCTGGGCTCCAAAAACAGGGGCGTCCAGAAAGAAGACATTCTCCCCGGATCACGCACTCCTTCCATGAGAAACTCATCCACTTCGGCTTCATCTTCTATGTTTGGGGCAACAGCTCGAGCCAGGCCGGTGCTGAGAGCCGACAGTTTCTAAGGGGGGGGAAAAAAAAAGAGAGAGAACTGTTAATTGATGGAGGTTTGATCCTACTGAACTTAAGTGAAGCGTGCAGTTAGTGCAAAGCAGAGTTTCCCAACCTGGAGAGTTTTAAGATGCGTGGACTTCAACTCCCAGAATTCCCCAGCCAGCTTGCTGGCTGGGGAATTCTGGGAGTTGAAGTCCACGCATCTTAAAGTTGCCAAGGTTGAGACACACTGGTGTAGAAGCTGCAACGTTCATTGAGGAGGGATGGAGAGGAGAATTGGGAGCACGGGACTCCTTTGGGGGTCAGCACTCTCACCTCCAAGGTGCTCTCTGAGTCCAAGGCATAGGCTTCTCCATCCTCTGGTTTCATCTCTACTGAAGAGTAGCCTTCAATCTACAAGAGCAGAACACAGATGTGGGGAGGTCAGCCCTCCAAGGTAGTCCGGGCAGGAAAGCCAAACCATGAGTACTAACACGACCTTTACTGCAAGGCTGCAGCAACAGAATCTTGCAAATCTGAGAGCATTTCCCCCTTCCCCTGCCTTTGCTTCCCAGAGAACTAGGGAGGGTCCCTTCTGAGACGCTTTCTCCACTACCATTCATCCTCTGGACTCAGATTTCTCTTATTTATTTATTTATTTATTTGATTCCCACAGCCACCCATCTCAGCAAGTGACTCTGGGTGGTGAACAATCGTAAAAACATAAAACTATTAAAAACAGTTACAGCCAATACAAAATAAATATATATATGGTCGCAGAGTAAAATGATTGTGATAGGTGTCAATATAGCCAGGAAACAGGGCCCTTCACACACTCGGGGCCCCAGGGCCAGGCCCATAAACAGGTCTTTAAAGCCTTACGAAAAGCCCACAGGGTTGGGGTCATCCTAATCTCTGGAGGGAGAATGCTCCAGAGGGCAGGGGCTACGGTGGAGAAGGCACGTCTCCTAATCCACACCAGCCGACATTCCTCAGCTGACGGGGACTGCATCATGCCCAACCTGCCAGACCAAACTGGGCAGGTAGAAACAACCGGCCATAGTCTAGACTGTGGCTCTTCTTCCTGTCTCCCAAGGTGATTCTCTTTTTTTTTTTTATAATTTTCACTGAAGATTATATAAAACAGATAAAACTAATACAACAATCAAATACGAAAACAGATTTAAAAAAA